GGGCTGAATTGCACAAAACGCATGATCGCACCGGCTAGCCTGGTGCGCGTTGCCATTTATTACAATTTCTCTTCTTCCAGACAGGGTGTCATAAAATTCCATTTTTATTTCAAAAATTATTGCTGCTGCAATAGTAGGGGGCGTCTACGGCAATTATTCGAATGGGTAATTGTGATGTAATCTTTGTTATCCGTATATCTGCATAGTACACTTGTACTTTATAACCAATCTTGCATTTTATATTCACGTTTTTATATATAACTGTACATGTTCTATAATCAGCTTACACCTTACCTTGTTATAGCTAATACTCATTTCGGTCTCCATGGCATTTTTGGTAAATGTACACATCATAATTAGTCTTATACTATATATTTATGTATTTTCTTCACATAGAATCCATATCTTTTTTAGCAATTCCGTAATTTAGATTTACATTTTTATATAATTGTATTACTAAGCAATTTTGCATGGTGTATCCATATATCTTTTAACCAATTTATTTTGTGTTGCCAGTAATTATTAGAAACTAATTTGTTATTTAGGATACGAGAAAGACAGTCTTAATGGATTCTATTAAAAAGTTATCACATGCACGCATATAGCATTTCTTTGTCGAAGAAAAAATTTGCGAAACTGCTGCAAGCTCTCAATATTGCTAGGAAACGGACAGATGAAAAATGAAAGATTTTCCTACTGGAAACACCTGCTTTCTGATATTTTGAAGTATTTCAAAAATTCTTTTTTCATCAATTTTTGATTAAAAATAGCTTTTGTTGCTAAGAACTTTGGAAATAAAATTGTGGGAAGCCTGTTCTACAGAATCCTCACTTTGCTGAAAAATTATGATTTGACTTGGTACTCATGTGATGGAAAACTGAGGCTGCTGAACATTGGTAATTAATATATAGTCCTTTTGTTGAGTAATCCGCTTCTTGAGGACTCCAAGCGCAACAAGCTTTAAGTTATGTGAGTAATTTGTGTATGCAAAATTATCACAATAGCCCGATATTCGCATGTGTATGCTATCTGTGCTCCTTGAATGAACGTGAAAACGAGCCAGTGTCCAAAATTTTTTATGCGTTTTTGCTGTGCAGCGCTATAGCGCTGCTACAGCCAGCAAAAACGC